GATCGAATTATCGATATGTATCAAATCATTAAAATAATCGATAAACTGGAATGTATCGGGTCAATTCCAAGTCCTGCCAAACTCCTCCAAAGATCTTCAAAGATATAAAAAATTGTAGTCACGTTTTAATTCCAAAGCAAAAGATTTTCCAATAAGTTACTTTGTACCTTATAAGTTTAGCTACGTATTAAGTTAGAAAACCTCTCCAAGGCTCTTAATAACTAGAAAAACGTTCGAATTTCAACAGTAACTGGCACTGTAGTAGAGTATAATTTTACTATCTCAAAGTCGCTTTAAGGTAATCGTCCACTCATTTTAAAATAATTTCGTTTATGTAATTTGATATGTTTTAACAAATTTAAATTTACTCACCTGCTTCAATGCTGCATATAGCGAGTAATCGTAGCAACAACAATACTATACATATACTCGCATTACTCAGTCCGCTGCCGTGCCGCCAAGTGTATATGTGTGTTGTTGTTGTGTGTGGAAGTTTCATCTTAATTTCTATTTGTTGCAATTATTAAACAATTTGTATTTATAACTAAGACTATGCACTACGCAAGTAATCGTATCTACTACTTGCTGCGTCACTTTCTCACTTTCTTAGCACAATTATTACTTTGTTTGTGGTATGCCATGCATACTCGTACAAACAAGCAACGATATATCACATCTTAAAACCACTGAGATCTGTAAATTGGATAAAAATTTCATTTACATAAATAAATTTTAATTAAATCACTTTCAAATGCTACAACAACAACAATAAAACACTGTTAAACACTAAAATAATGAAATTTTTATGCATTTAAGTGCGTCGAAAAATTAAAAATATTATTTTTGTAGAAAAATTTTCTACAAATCAGTTATGCAAGCACTTTTTGTGCTTAAACGAAAGTTGCGCGCTTTTAACCGCTTCGCTCCGTACGTGACCAAGTCATTTTAACGACTACTTATGTAATATTTGTTTTCAATCAAATTTTGTGTAAACAACAAACAAGAGCAGCAAAAAATTTTATAATTTTATCACATAATTTTTTTTATGCTCTCTTCTTTCATTTATGTAGGAGTCCATGTTCGAATGCGCGCGTTGATAAAAAAAACTCGCATACTTCCATACGTACATATGTACATACATATGTATGCAACAATTGATTAAACATATCGAGTGGAAAGATATGAAAAAAAATTGTTGCTTTTCTTGGTGCAAGGATTGGTGTTGGTGTTGCTGTTACTGTTGTAAATGCTTTTCTTCAAACTAAACGGGTTTATCTGAAAATAAAAGAAGAGAAACGAAGGGTTTTATTGTATTTATTTGTGTACAAACAATGCTTTATCTATAAGAAATTAAAGTGTAAAAAAAAACATATACATATTTTACGTGTCTTTAAATTGTTTACTATACATATTAAAACACCTTTTTCTTGATCTCAAAATTTCTCTGGTCAATTCTCAATTAATGCTGAGTTTGAAACCGAAAATAGCCGAGCACAGTGTCATGTCCTCATATCACTATTGGGTATATTTATGCTTCACCTAAACTCACTTTAGAAAGAAGAATTATACAGGGAATGCGGAGCCTCGGAGACGATTACGAAGATAAAAATGAATGCGAAGACAAATTTGAAGACAAACACGAAGAGTAGTAAGAAGTCGAAGGCAAATTTGAAGACGAACACGAATACAAAAACGATAAATGAGTCGAATACGAAGACAATTTTAAAGTCGAATACGAGTACTAAATACGACGCAATACGACTAAAAACTAACGCATTCGTATTCAAATTTGTCTTCGACTTCGTACTCTTTTTCGTGTTTTTCTTCAAATGTCTCAATGGATTAATATTCGTATTCTTCTACGTATTTGTTTCCGAGGTTCCGCATTCGTCTTCGTATTCTTTTTGGTACCTACTATTAACCTTCGAAGTAATTCTGGTATTTGTATCTATTCACCTTCTTCACCATGTGTTCGTCTACGTATTTGTAATCGTCTTCGGTTTGGTCGAAATTGCTGATGGAGAAGACCATGAACGTCTTCGATTTCACGTCCTATTAATCTTCGCATTCGTCTTGTCTTCGTCTTGGTTATCGTCTTCGAATTTGTCTTTGCGTTCATTTTCATTATTTGTATACGTCTTCGTTTTGGTTTTCATGGTTTTCTCCGTCTTTGATTTCGATTTCGACTTCATATTCAATACCCGCATTCGTCTTGATATTTCTATTAATCTTCGTCTTGGCCTTCATTTGGGTCTTCGTATTCGTCTTAATATTTGCCCTTGTTCATTTTTGTACTTCTAGCATATTGTCTTTTTTCGTAGCGTTTGTGTTTTCCTTAGGCTTAGGCGGGAAATAGAGAAAGGGAAAATGGATACACTTCCGTCACATACGTTGCATTGCAAGTGTCACATAATTTCCGTAGTGATTTTTTGTGTAGTCCACTACCCCACCCCAAGGAATATCAAACAGGTAGTATCATTAGAGCAAAAACAACATTTTCGTGTGTTTTGTTGTTGCTTCTGGTATCTAAAGTGTCGAAAAAAGTCTACATTGAAAATGTGAAATGTAAGCCTCAATTAAAATATAAAATTTAATAAAAAATAATCAGCACTTAAGGTCCTGAGTTAGGCAAATGTTCCAAAGGCGTTTTTTTGTTTTTGAAGATTCAAATGCAAATCATTTTTGATAATTAAGAATGTTTGTTAAAAATATTGAATATGTGAAAATTTAGAGGCCAAATAATTTGAAAAAATTGAGTCAGCTGCTCTACTACTACTACTTCTTTAATTTGTTAAGTAAACACGTTTGCTTTAAGTTAAAAAGTAAAAATTGTGAAGATTGTAGTCGTCCTCCGCTGTACCCGTCCCAACTTGGTTCTGAACCAAGTCTTATTTAACGCCAGTCTAGTGAACGATATGTATGAGGATTTTTTCCCACATTTTCGCCAAGGCCATCTTACAGGCCTACATGGCGGTAATGGCTTTCCTGTATAGAATAACTTCAAGGTGCTTGACCTCGGTTGAGACAGTAGGTTCCACCTCGTTTAAATATAGAAAGTGTAATAAAACCCAAGGACTTACAGATATTTACCAGTTGATATGATTGCTATGTTGCTTGCATACGCTATGACATATGTACATAGTTACATTAGTGGCATCTAACGCAAATATCCACATTAGCTAATGCCACAGTGATGCTCATAGGTGAGTGGCTGAACTCAATGGGACTTGCCCTAACGGAAAGCAAGATCGAGGCTGTTCTTGTCACAGGCAAGAAGATTCGTGAATATGTGTCATTTAACGAGGAGACCTGGTAGACACAAAACCCGCCATCAAGTATCTGGGTATAATATTAGAAGGAAGGCTAGGTTTCAAATAACACTTTATCAATAATGATGCTCAATGCACGTTGTTGCAAACAAAGCAGAAGATGTCTTTTAGACGGAATACTGAAGTCGGTATCCCTATATGGTGCCCAAGTTTGGGCAAATGCGCTCGACACTAACTCCTACATACGTGGTCTGGCATCCATATACAGAATTTGCGCTCTAAGGGTTTGCTGTGCATTTCGTATAGTATCCGAATACGCAGCCCTTGTTGTCGCAAGTTTACACCCAATAGATCTCTTGGCTAAGGAGACCAATTTTGAGGTACCTAACTCTAAAAAAGAAAATTGCAAGAAACGATACCCTGGTAAACTGGCAAATGCGATGGGACGCAAGTAGAAACAGACGTTGGACCCACCGATTAATACCAAAACTCGAACCATGAATAAGCCGCTCTCATGGTGAGGTAAATTTTCATATAACCCAGTTGCTTACAGGTCACGGCTGCTTTAAGGCTTACCTCACACGCTTCAAGCTGGAAGTGCTGCCGAAGACGTCGAACATGTATTCCTCTACTGTAATAAGTTCGCCAGAGAGCGGATTTATCTGAGAGATGTCTTTAAAGTAGACCCAACTCCTGAAAATGTTGTTGCAAATATGCTCCAATCCCCAGAAAACTGGAATGCAATTTCCAATATAGCAGCAAGTATCAGAAAAGCTGAACAAGACAGAAGAAGAACCTTGGTAAGTTTAACCCTCACCCATATGGTCGATAAGGGGGTAGTAGGAAATGAGTATCAAACTGAAAACTCTAGAACAATAACGTACGTGTGAGCTTCGTGAAACGAAATACTTGACGGTAGTACCGGGGTAGGAGGTAGGAGGTTTAGTTCGCGTTAAAGTCCCGCACTGATGGCTGAGGCTTTTCACCAAAGTGAGCAACAGTCATGCTTGAGCTCATCTACTCTTTTGCCAGAGTGCCAGGCCAATTGCTCAATTTGGTGAATACCACTATTGTATAAGTAAAATAAATGCGCACACGCGTCTCAAATTAAGCTTCGAATTAACTTTTGATTGTATAAAATATAAAAGCAGACTTTGAGTTATTTATGTAAATATGTACATATATGTACACACATAAATAATATGTGTACGTTTGTTAATTTATTGCCATACTTCTACATATGTAGAATGGAAGTTTCTATTTTGGGTGCAGTCATTGTAGCCAACGTTACTATACAAACATTTTTTTATTGCAACAAAAATATGGACAAACATTTAGAGCACATATTTATGTATGTATATCTAACTAAAGTATGCAAAATGAATATAAGAACTTAATATAATTGAAATCAATTTTAATCGCTACACGCATACATACATATTTACTATGTAAATTAACTTCCTTGTAATCAAATTTTTGATATAGGTTTAGGAAAAATACATCGAGTAATAGGGAATTATTAAGTATCAACCCAACAATAGCTCACATTTATTTAACTTCTTCTTATAGATTTTTTGATGTTGGGAAAAAAACTACTGAAGTGTCTAAAAATGGCAAATATCGAAGATTAAAAAAATAAAAAATTTGGACTTAATTTTTCCTCGTATTAATGAAAGTCCATTTCGTCCAACGGGTTCTACTTTGGTACGATGAGTTGCGTAGAAATGAGCGAAAAAAATCCCAATATTCATGAAGAGGAGCTTTATACTCATATGATGCCTTTTTCCGTTTCTTTAATAGTTAAAACAAGTAAGAGCAGCGCTGTCTTCGGCTATGCCGAAGGCTTCATACCTTTCATGAACATCTGCAAATTTTAGTTTGACAGATTACTGATTTGATTGATTTGACTACTGATGAAATTTATCGGTTTTAGCTGTTCAAATAAAGGAGTTTTACAGTTAAATCCCATATCTGAACAATCAGATGTATGGAAGATATATGTTGTAGTCACCCGACCCTTGTTATTTTCACTGTAAGTATTATGTTAATAATGAGTGAAAATGGTGCGAAATTTCATGTTCCTAGCTGCATAAATGGAGGAGATATGATAAAAGACCTCATATCTGAACAATCAGTTGTATGGGGGCTGCAGGTTATAGTGACCCGATCTTCGTTATTTTCACTGTAAGTCTTCTGCTGATAATGAGTGAAAGCAGCGCGAAATTTCATGGTCCTAGCTACATAAATGGATGAATTATAACGAAAAATCTCATATCTGAACAATCAGTTGTACGGGAGCTATAGGTTATAGTTATCCGATCTTTTTAATTTTCACTGTAAGTTTTCTGTTGATAATTATTGAAAACATTGCGGAATTTCCTGTTCCCAGCTATATAAATGGAGGAGTTATAACGAAAAATTTTATATCTGAACAATCAGTTATATGGGAGCTATAGGTTATAGTGACCCGATCTTTGTAATTTTCACTGTAAGCATTATGTTGATAATGGGTGCAAGTGCTGCGAAATTTCATGTTCGTAGCTGCATAAATGGAGAAGTTATAACGAAAAATCTCATATCTGAAAAATCAGTTGTATGGGAGCTATATGTTATAGTGGTCCGATTCTTCCGGTTCCGACAAATGATTAATATATTATAAAAATACACCCACCTACGAAATTTGATCCGGATATCTCGAAAACTGAGAGACTAGATTGCATACAAACAGACGGACAGACGGACATGAATA